GTTTGTGTTTAAGAACAACTATTTCTTCACATTACAAAAATCTTCTGTTGTAAATTAATAGAAATTAAAACCGATAGTAAAACTTCCTCTTCTTGGCTTAATTTTATCTTATTGTCATAGTTTAAAAGGAAAATAGTGTGCAGATAATTGTAATCACGGTTGCCAGATTTAGAGATTTCTTCCACAACTTAGACAATTTTAATGAAGTTGGGGAAGAAAATGATCTATTCCGAAAATTAAGTATTGATTGGAATTAAGAAACAAAACCTGCCAAATTTTAGTTTCTTCAAAATGAACAGCATGCAGCATTAATAACAGAAGTAAGGATATGCGAATGCTAAAAACTAGCGACGCCTGATATATATATTAAAATATAATAATAGAAAATAGAAAATTTAATAGAAAATAACATTTTAATTATTTAAATGATATTATGTTAGATCAAATTGCAGTATATTTACAAGTTATTAATACAGGGTTTTTATAAATGAATGATGAGGTTTTAAAAATTAATAATATATCTATTTATACCTTATATGGGCAAACCTTACATCATAAGCAGCAGCAACTGTCCAAGCTTTTTATGCATTCGTCACAATCCTTCAATATGTGCACTCATGGTCACACGACACACATCTACATGGAAATCAAATTCTTCCCATACGCGGTGTAGCATGTTCTCCGTGATGGTCTGCAGTGCATGCTTTATCCGATCACACAGTTCCTCAAGGCACATGGGCATTAACAGAGCAAAAATTCAGTCAATGCCAGAGATTAAGGTAATAAATAGATTTATTGTTAATTTTTAAAACCGCACCATTCATTTATAAACACCCTGTATAAGCAAGAAAAACGATTTTTTTTAAAGTACATAATACAATCAGATGAAAAATATACGAAACAAAACTACTCATTCTCGCATATTAGCATTATTTTTTCATACTTCTATTATAAAAATAGAATTTTATACTAATTTTTAAAGTAATATTAATAGATTAACTTAGGATGACCTTCAACTTGCCCTGAAAATACTACAGACCAGTTTACAGATTACATGAAATTTAAAGGGTTAAATAAAATAATGCGTGATTTACGGGCTGACCGCATTGAGTGTACCAAGTTTTCACCAAATTAGGAGCCATTTTTCCATAGAAAAACATTTTCTTTGGTAGATCGGTGTATATTGAGTTTCTTTATCCCACCAATCCAATCCTATTTATATAAAATGTTTAATGTTTTGTATGGTGCAGTAATTTTAGATTACTGCTTTCTAGGTTGATAATAAATTTTAACATGTTTGAAGCTCACAGCTATATAGGCTACACATTTTTTAGAAGTATTTTGTATCACATGCAGACGTTTTCGTAGGCAAAATTTTATATAGGATGGCAACAGTGCAGTGTAACTTACTTGTTAGTACAGTTGTGATCCGATTGCATGTCAGGTAATGCCACCAGTTTTTTACAATTATTATTATTCCCGCATCATTTAAAAGAACTCGTAAAGGCTCACTATGTTTAGAATTTTAGTCTACGTGTCTGTTGTTTGGTGGCCTTCTAACTCCAGTCATGTCTGTAAGACACAGTCAAATACATTACTCACAGCTGAAAGAGTTTCAGAAAGACCGCATCATCGGGATGAGGAAAGCAGGATGGCATTTCACCGAATTGCTTGCCATCTGAGCCATTTTGATTTGACTGTGAGATGGTGTTGAGGACTGTCTAGGACAGGCATGGCCAACATACGGCCCGCGGGGCGGATGTGGCCCGTGTAATGGATTTATGTGGCGCGCGATTAATCTTTCAATATTAGCTACTCAAGTCAGAATAGATCGGTGAAAAATTCTAACGCCTAAAAAAAAAGTCAACAACTAACTGCGTTTAGAGTTAACGCTCCATTACAAATATCTTCAGCACAGCGTAGAATGTTGATTATACATGATAATGTGAAAAATGTATCTGTAATCTCTATGTAGAATTATTTTCTACAGGGTGACACCACAATGAGATCTCGCACCACCTCAAAATCTTCCTAGAGTAGCCTCTGGTTCGGCCCGTGAAAAAAGTTTTCTTTCCAATTCGTTGGCCACCCCTGGTCTAGGACATCGAAAGCTAGCTCTGGATGTCTTCGACAGACTACTAGAAGAGATGGTCTGATTATGAGACAAGCACGAACAGTTGTAACCCAGAAACAGTGTATTTGACCACCATGCAAAGACAGGTAGAGCATCTTTACAAAATTCCGTCTCTTTCTGTACCATTGTCAGGTGACTAATAGAGACAAATTTACATGCACGGCGACCACTGCGAGTCCTGTCTTTTATCATTCTAATATCGTCGGCTTTCGTTTGCAATGGCGCCGCATGCAACTGACAGCATAACGTGTTTTAGCGCCGAATTTCAGTTTTGTTTGGTAATGGCTACTACAGGCTACTACAGTGTTAGAAGAAATAGCAAGCGCATTAATTTAGCCTTTATTGTTGAGCGGCTCACTGCGCTTACTGTTGGCGTGTTATTTTGGGAAGCTATCAGCTTAGATATAGGATCATCAATAGTAGGATGCCAGGGACAGTGATACGGTCAGGTAAATTTGCGCTCTCGTGTATTGCTTCTTTGGCCAGGGCTGCAAGCGGACATTTTGCATCAAGATAATGCTCTGCGGCACGCAGCTAAAGTTTCTCGAGAATGTCTCCGTTACAGTGGCGTAGCTACTGGATTCAGCGCCTGGAGCAAGTCGAATCGGTGCGCCTCCTTCTTCCTAGGAAGAGGTCTCGCAAAATTTATTTTGAATATTTAATTTAAAAACATATAAGCGCAGAGCCCAAAAGGTTAGTAGTTGAAAGTTGAAATTTGGTACACAGTTACAGTACTGTGAAGGGATTTTTCGAAATCCCCCCGCGGGGGAGAGGGAGAGGAAGCTTATCCTGAAGAACTCTGCTTCTATTGTACTATTTTAGATGCAGTATTTTGCGTTTTTGCGAGAAATCGAGCATATTTTTAGACCCATCTAAAAATTCTGTAATTAGTCTCGGAAGAGTGGAACCTAATTCTTGTACCCAGTGAAAACGAGTAAGATCGCTTATAATCTAATAATTTTAATCTTTGCTATCGTTAATTTTTCCCCGAGCAACACCTATCTCATCACTTTCTTCAGATCAAGTAGACAAGCTATTGTTTTTTCAATTAATATCTAGGTTTTTCGGGGCCTATGGCTTATTGAAATCCAATGGGGACTCATTTTTTTGTTAATACAAAAAATACCATAAATTATCGTTATTATATTATTATTAATATTAACCATTTTTACTGTACAATAAATGCTCATTGTTAATGAAAAAGTATTAAAAATTGGTGATAATAATTCAATTTTTGCGGGCCCTTGACACTTGGAGGCCCTATTAGTTCCTACGTAGATCCACCCCCGGATATAATAGCCATAGTTAAGACGGTGATGTGACACGCTGCTTCTTAATTAAATAAATTTTGATTAATTTTAGTTTCGAAAAATTTGGTTCAGCTGTCGTTGTAGTCGCCCGTAAAGTTAAAAATATGAGCCATGCTGCAATAATGTCGGAGAACCTATTTGAGGGTGCGGTGTGAAATAAAACTAGTTCAGCAACTTGACTTACAGAAGTAATTACTTTTACCCGACTATAAAAACACGTTTTAAATCGAAGCAGTCGAGGTCCAAAACTAGACGAATGTGGAAGAGATATGCCGATTGTAGCAATTCTGATTGTTCCACAATATTTTTATCAGATGACGCGACAAGCGATAAGCACTTGAAAGGCAGGGCCGGATCATCGCATAGACAAATGAGACAAATGTCTAGGGCCCGGTTTTTAGAAGGGCCCGGTCAAACTGTCTATTTTGAAAAGATTTGTAAATAAGATAGTTTACTTTTCTGTTGGACAACTGTATAATACTGGTAAAACATTATATTATTTAAATATTAACCAAAAAGGTTAAATTAAACAAGTAAAATGGCAAAACCGTATTTGGGACACGACTATGTCTCGGAGACACTACTAAGCGGAATCACTTTGACGCTCAAAGCGGATCTCGTTCTCATTCTCCAATCTTCTTTGGTACTGTATTGCTGCTTTTGGGCGCGATCGTTCAAACTTCGCCGGCCACGACCACGAGGTCGTCCTCGATGCATTTTCGATGAAATTAACCTATTCAATTTCGAAATTTTTCTCCGTTGCGCGTCGGCCCGGGTTGAATTTTTGTCGATGCCTAACGAAAATTTCCCGTCTTTGAAAAAATAATCGTGGCTAAAAGTATCGTCCGAAATTATTTTTTTTTTATTTTGCACAAACAATATACAGTTTAACCCGATTATAACGTCAAATTTTTATCGGTCCCATGATTTTACTATACTAGATGATGTTAAAAAACCTACTTGTAACGACATAAAACCCATTAATGACGTTGAATCAAAAGAAGAAAAGCTAATTAATGTAAGAACTGAACATAAATTATAACTATTTTTAAGTTCGATGTGTTTCAAAAATATTTCAGAAAGAATTACAAGTGATATGAATCAAAATAAATAAAATTTCAATGAATATAATATGAATATTTTAAAATAAAGAAAGCATTTGTTAAGTAAAGTATGTTTAAAACAACAGTTTAAAATGAGTAGATCGTACTGGGCCTGCACCAGTAACGCGTTATAGTTTTATGGTAAACCCAAGCAAATTTGAATTAGTGCTATATTTATTGTCTATAAAATGTGTTTTGGTATATCTAGAATGAATTAATTGGATTTAGATTGATTCATATGAAAAAATTTGTCACGGTTTTTGTTGATTTCGACTAAAACCGAGTTATTACTTTATTGGCGTTTAAGTAGCTTACCGGTTTTTTAATAAAAAGAAATAATTTCAGTCGGAATTTTAGTCTTTTTAAGCTAACAAATAAGCACAATACGTCAATGTGATAAAACAATTCCGAAATTTTACATTGTTGTAGTGCATTCTTGCTTTTTCATCTTTTCAAAATTTATAAAGTGAATTTAAAATTTAAATTACTTTTTTAAATGCAATCACAAAAGGTAAGTAAAACGATCAATCTGTTTTGTTACGTGTTATTTTTAATAGGCGACACTTATCATTCAAAATTGTAAAGATAAAAATTTCGAAATTTTAATTATTATCGAAAAAATACATATATTTTACTATTGATATTATGTTTTGGATTAAAGAGAAAATATTTCTGAAAGTATTAACAGAGAACTTAATGATTTACAATAACTTCCATCACGAATATTTTTTAAAGGATGAGAAACAGAAACATGAATGCACGGAATGTAAACAAATATTTCCAAGGAAATCGCACTTAGATGTGCACCTGAGAAGCCATACCGGTGAGAAACCGTTTCCATGCGATATTTGCGGTAAAAAATTCTCCCAGTCTGGAAATTTAACAATTCACAAAAAAATACATTCGGAAGAACGACCTTTCAAATGCAACTGTGGATATGCTACAAAAAAGAAAATTTGATCTGTTATCACATGTCAAACGATTACATCGACATTCAATCGCTTCTGATATTATTACTGTAAGAATTATGTTTATGTTTATTTTTGCATTAAGTCCATATATATTTTATGAAATATAATATATTATAAGTTAATAAATTTGATAAAAAATATAACATTATGATGGACTATATAACTGGTTTAATTATTATAAATCAAATTGATAATTTACAGTGAAACATTAAAAAATATATTTGTTATATCTGTATCGTAAAAATCGTAAATATTAGTTACGAGATAACTTCTTCAACAATAAGAGTTTATAATGAATACAAAATAATACGAATTTACCAAATATATTAAAATTTAACTGCAATTCTAAAATATTAATATTTCAATTTTTTTAGTATGTAATAAATAGCAATTACTAATTAATAATTCATTTAATACTTAGATTCCCCGGAAAAACTCGAAAGATCATAAATGTAATAAATGTGGTAAAAGTTTTTGATGGTTATCCACTTTTAGAATGCATCAAACATCTCATGGAAAAACCGACCGTTTTCGTGTGATATTTGTAAGAAAACATTCAAATATAAATTTGAGTTAAATAGACACGTGAAAATAGTACATTCAAAGAAAAAAATCGTATCATCTTCCAAAGTACGTAAAAAATTTTTCTGAAATTCACTTTTTAAAAATTACTTGAATATTATAATGCAAAAAAAGTTATGCTACTTGTAAAAAACTTTTTAAATTGCTTGTCAGATTCTTTTAGGTAACATTATTACGTGATATTTGTAAATAATTTTATTTTGTAACTTTCATTCATAAAATAACACTGCATTGTTCATTTAAAGTAAAGTAGTAATAGAAAACAAAAAGTAATTATTGTAAATTAGTAGTCTAATTTCAGTCATTCGATAACCAGCAGCCATCGGCGTAAATTTAGTTATTATTTGTAATAAGTTTAATCGTAATAATTGTTTCGAAATATATTTTTTCTACATAAGTTTTTTTACAAAAACAATTTCTGTTTAATTTGTGAAATTTTTAAGCTTTAGCACTTAATTTCTTATTGTTCTTTTGTTTGTTACTTGTTCTTTGCAATTAAGAACAAAATTGCTACAGAGAACTTATCATACAGGAACAATTTTTACGATAAAAAACGTACGTTATTTATTTTTTAATTATATAATTTAATGCGTTACGGGTAATATTCCTGTCACCAGTCTTTATGTTATGGTGAAAACAAATAAGATATTACTGAAAATATTAATATTTATTTATATTATATATACATACGTTTAAAACTCACAAAAAACCTTTAAATTGTCTGTAATGTAACTAATAATAACTAAAAACGTAAAGTAAAACTACAAAATCAAAAACAAATAAATAAATATAATAACCTCACTAAAGACAAATAATAATAACAAGAAAAAATAAAATAAGGAAATGCCAGGAAATATTTTAAAAAATTATCATTAATATTCAAAGTAATTTTGTAACACTTCAAAAGACAAAACTTTTTAAATTTTTTTAATTAATTTGAAAAACTTCTTCTATATTTTATTTAGAAATATAGTATAAAATATCGAAATTTAATATTTTATAATTTTCAAGATATTTATCTTAAGATATTTTAAAAATATTTTCAGATATTTATTTTATATAAATTTTAAACCGCTAATAAGTTTAAACCATTTAGATATTTTAGTATTTATTGAAATCTTGATTTTTTTTAAACCAAAATTTCAATTAATGGTAAAATAGCTTGATTCGTGAAAAATAAGGAAAAACAATCGATACATAAATCATATATCACTATTTAATTTAATATTTTAGTAAAGTGTGAATAAAGTATATGTTGAAATTTTGTGCCCCTTTATGGCTGGAGTGTTGGGAGATTGCCTAATTTGCATAAACGATAGTGCTGGCTATATCTAAATATATATACATGTTAAGTAATATGTACAACTTCTTAAAATTTAGAAAAGTTTATTCCTAAAATCTATTTCATAACCAATGCTAAATTTCTAACAACAATAAATATCAGTAGTCAAATATTATCTGCGTGTTAAATACGGATAAGATTTGACTATGAATTAAGTTTTCATTGACATTGAAAGGATAAAATTTTATTCTCATCAAGTTAACTGTCTACATCATTATTCGTATTTGTATTCGAAAAAACTCTACTTTTAAACAACAATTTAAATAAATTTACTCGTAATAATTACTTCTAAATATATGCTCCTTCACGCTAGTTTATTTAATAATGATATTTCGTTCTGCATAATAATGTTTTTCTCACAAAAAAAAAAATGTTATAAAAATTATGAAAATTTTAAATAATAAAGAAGTTTAAATGTGATGTAAATTACATTTAAATTATTTCAATTTACATGATATTTTATATATTTGTATTTACTGAATTGAACTCCATCATTATATTTACGATATTTACTTTTAGAAAGGCCATGAAGTGCAATCAGACTTTTTTCACACACCATCAAAAAGGTCTGAAGCAACAGGATCAACTGAATCTGAGCAAGTGGCTTCAGAAAAGATTATTTTCACAGCAAGAGAAGCTGAAGAATTTCTTAAAGGTTTTAACATCGATTTAGAAATTATGAACTTAGAAACATCCTCACAACTGGAGTTATTCTCAGAGATTGAAAACGATGAAGATAAATTCGAATGTCAACTTTGTGGACAAGAATTTTCTGACGAAATTTCTTTAAAGGAACACGAGAAACAATTCCACCAATCTAATTGATTCTGCACATTTAACTTTGAAACAATATAAATTTAAAACGTCATCAAAAATTAGCATTTTTCTACATTCATGTAAGACTAATAAAAATGAAACATTAGTAAACAATATTAGTCACAGCACAGTTAAATGAAATAACATTGAAAAATTTTCGAATAAATGAATTTATTGTTGTAATTATTTCATAAAATTACTGTACATTTACAGAATGATAGTTTTGGTACGAAACAAAATTTAAAAATTATTATTTGAAATTAATTAATAGCTTTAATTGAATAAATTTACGTTTACAGAATTGAATGTGTCGCAGATTCCTAACTTATTTTAACAGTAGGTAAAAGTTTATTTCTGTGTAAAGTGAAGAATGTGGACTCACATTAGGTTATTAGATAACGCGAGAATGAAACGAGTCAAAATAAGAATAATTAAACTAAAGTAAGAATAACAACTAAAATAAGTGACGAATATTATACTTCTTGTTACACTATTGTTAATTAGTTATTGAGAACTATGTTAGTTTCTTATTGAGACTTGACATAGTATTAAGAACTTACTCAAAAGTGAAATTTTAGATGTCAAAAATTGAAATTCTTTACGCTTCGGGTGACCAGACGATTCAATGAATGGTTGTTAATACAAGATACTGTATATTTTACTATTATATTTACACGAAATAATACGTTCCAAAGAACAACTACTTAAATATAACTACAAAGACTAGTTTCATCTATAATAATTGAATTTGTAGTTGCATTTAAATGCAACTGTGGGGTCTGAGGGGGAGAAATAAAAAAAGTTCAATGAACGAAAATATATGATATTTATCGTCATCGTCTCCCTTGCCGTTTGGATTGCCGAGCGGTAACAATCAACAACATATGGAAGCAGTTGAGTCAGAGATAGATGCTTCGTTTACAAACAACACAACAGTTTATTAAACACGAAAGAAGCTTACAAGCTTTCCGCGATCTTGGAAGTTCTNCATATTAGCATTATTTTTTCATACTTCTATTATAAAAATAGAATTTTATACTAATTTTTAAAGTAATATTAATAGATTAACTTAGGATGACCTTCAACTTGCCCTGAAAATACTACAGACCAGTTTACAGATTACATGAAATTTAAAGGGTTAAATAAAATAATGCGTGATTTACGGGCTGACCGCATTGAGTGTACCAAGTTTTCACCAAATTAGGAGCCATTTTTCCATAGAAAAACATTTTCTTTGGTAGATCGGTGTATATTGAGTTTCTTTATCCCACCAATCCAATCCTATTTATATAAAATGTTTAATGTTTTGTATGGTGCAGTAATTTTAGATTACTGCTTTCTAGGTTGATAATAAATTTTAACATGTTTGAAGCTCACAGCTATATAGGCTACACATTTTTTAGAAGTATTTTGTATCACATGCAGACGTTTTCGTAGGCAAAATTTTATATAGGATGGCAACAGTGCAGTGTAACTTACTTGTTAGTACAGTTGTGATCCGATTGCATGTCAGGTAATGCCACCAGTTTTTTACAATTATTATTATTCCCGCATCATTTAAAAGAACTCGTAAAGGCTCACTATGTTTAGAATTTTAGTCTACGTGTCTGTTGTTTGGTGGCCTTCTAACTCCAGTCATGTCTGTAAGACACAGTCAAATACATTACTCACAGCTGAAAGAGTTTCAGAAAGACCGCATCATCGGGATGAGGAAAGCAGGATGGCATTTCACCGAATTGCTTGCCATCTGAGCCATTTTGATTTGACTGTGAGATGGTGTTGAGGACTGTCTAGGACAGGCATGGCCAACATACGGCCCGCGGGGCGGATGTGGCCCGTGTAATGGATTTATGTGGCGCGCGATTAATCTTTCAATATTAGCTACTCAAGTCAGAATAGATCGGTGAAAAATTCTAACGCCTAAAAAAAAAGTCAACAACTAACTGCGTTTAGAGTTAACGCTCCATTACAAATATCTTCAGCACAGCGTAGAATGTTGATTATACATGATAATGTGAAAAATGTATCTGTAATCTCTATGTAGAATTATTTTCTACAGGGTGACACCACAATGAGATCTCGCACCACCTCAAAATCTTCCTAGAGTAGCCTCTGGTTCGGCCCGTGAAAAAAGTTTTCTTTCCAATTCGTTGGCCACCCCTGGTCTAGGACATCGAAAGCTAGCTCTGGATGTCTTCGACAGACTACTAGAAGAGATGGTCTGATTATGAGACAAGCACGAACAGTTGTAACCCAGAAACAGTGTATTTGACCACCATGCAAAGACAGGTAGAGCATCTTTACAAAATTCCGTCTCTTTCTGTACCATTGTCAGGTGACTAATAGAGACAAATTTACATGCACGGCGACCACTGCGAGTCCTGTCTTTTATCATTCTAATATCGTCGGCTTTCGTTTGCAATGGCGCCGCATGCAACTGACAGCATAACGTGTTTTAGCGCCGAATTTCAGTTTTGTTTGGTAATGGCTACTACAGGCTACTACAGTGTTAGAAGAAATAGCAAGCGCATTAATTTAGCCTTTATTGTTGAGCGGCTCACTGCGCTTACTGTTGGCGTGTTATTTTGGGAAGCTATCAGCTTAGATATAGGATCATCAATAGTAGGATGCCAGGGACAGTGATACGGTCAGGTAAATTTGCGCTCTCGTGTATTGCTTCTTTGGCCAGGGCTGCAAGCGGACATTTTGCATCAAGATAATGCTCTGCGGCACGCAGCTAAAGTTTCTCGAGAATGTCTCCGTTACAGTGGCGTAGCTACTGGATTCAGCGCCTGGAGCAAGTCGAATCGGTGCGCCTCCTTCTTCCTAGGAAGAGGTCTCGCAAAATTTATTTTGAATATTTAATTTAAAAACATATAAGCGCAGAGCCCAAAAGGTTAGTAGTTGAAAGTTGAAATTTGGTACACAGTTACAGTACTGTGAAGGGATTTTTCGAAATCCCCCCGCGGGGGAGAGGGAGAGGAAGCTTATCCTGAAGAACTCTGCTTCTATTGTACTATTTTAGATGCAGTATTTTGCGTTTTTGCGAGAAATCGAGCATATTTTTAGACCCATCTAAAAATTCTGTAATTAGTCTCGGAAGAGTGGAACCTAATTCTTGTACCCAGTGAAAACGAGTAAGATCGCTTATAATCTAATAATTTTAATCTTTGCTATCGTTAATTTTTCCCCGAGCAACACCTATCTCATCACTTTCTTCAGATCAAGTAGACAAGCTATTGTTTTTTCAATTAATATCTAGGTTTTTCGGGGCCTATGGCTTATTGAAATCCAATGGGGACTCATTTTTTTGTTAATACAAAAAATACCATAAATTATCGTTATTATATTATTATTAATATTAACCATTTTTACTGTACAATAAATGCTCATTGTTAATGAAAAAGTATTAAAAATTGGTGATAATAATTCAATTTTTGCGGGCCCTTGACACTTGGAGGCCCTATTAGTTCCTACGTAGATCCACCCCCGGATATAATAGCCATAGTTAAGACGGTGATGTGACACGCTGCTTCTTAATTAAATAAATTTTGATTAATTTTAGTTTCGAAAAATTTGGTTCAGCTGTCGTTGTAGTCGCCCGTAAAGTTAAAAATATGAGCCATGCTGCAATAATGTCGGAGAACCTATTTGAGGGTGCGGTGTGAAATAAAACTAGTTCAGCAACTTGACTTACAGAAGTAATTACTTTTACCCGACTATAAAAACACGTTTTAAATCGAAGCAGTCGAGGTCCAAAACTAGACGAATGTGGAAGAGATATGCCGATTGTAGCAATTCTGATTGTTCCACAATATTTTTATCAGATGACGCGACAAGCGATAAGCACTTGAAAGGCAGGGCCGGATCATCGCATAGACAAATGAGACAAATGTCTAGGGCCCGGTTTTTAGAAGGGCCCGGTCAAACTGTCTATTTTGAAAAGATTTGTAAATAAGATAGTTTACTTTTCTGTTGGACAACTGTATAATACTGGTAAAACATTATATTATTTAAATATTAACCAAAAAGGTTAAATTAAACAAGTAAAATGGCAAAACCGTATTTGGGACACGACTATGTCTCGGAGACACTACTAAGCGGAATCACTTTGACGCTCAAAGCGGATCTCTTTCTCATTCTCCAATCTTCTTTGGTATCGCTGCTTTTGGGCGCGATCGTTCAAACTTCGCCAGCCACGACCACGAGGTCGTCCACCATGCATTTTCGATGAAATTAACCTATCCAATTTCGAAATTTCTCTCCGTTGCG